GTACTAATATTTCAAGAAAATCCATGCGAATAGGATTTTCTTGAAATATTATTATGTGATGTTCAAACCAGACTGAAAGAGTTACGATTAAGTTAAATATAAAGAAAACTTGTTTATTATGATATTTTTATAAAATTTTATTGCGCTAATATTAATTTAATAAAATATTTCAATTATTATAATTGAGATTTCTTTTTATACATAATTCTTTCATCAATTTGCTTAAGTGTATCCGTTTGAAAATTTCATTTAAAGTTTATTTTGTAAATGGTATCAATGTAAATGTACGTTTAAATAAATTGCTACTTTTAATTAATTACTACAATGTGAAGCGCTGCCAATGCGTGGATTTACTTTCAGCCGGTATTGACAATGTAAATTATATAGCGATTTATTGGTTATTAAAATTACGAACCAGCAATAAATCAGCATACTTGGCATACACACACATATTATTGATATGAAGTTATACAATAGCAATTTTAAATGCATAAATTATTAACATATTCATGTTTTACTAATCATAATAGATTTATTAACAATTATATTCTCTCTGTCTAGTGGAAAATTCTTGTTAATTAATATCATTCAATTTTTCTTATTTGTTTCTATGGATTTTGTGTGTATTATTAAATAATATGAGTTCTACAATTGTAAACATAGGAATTTCTGTACTGTTTTTGCATTATAATTACATATCTTTTTGTTACTTGAAGTTACTTAACATCAATTTGATTATCAACTTATTTGTAAGATTTAACTTGGTTCCAAGCAATTACATGATGTTAAAATAAATGTATATATAAAAGCTATACTGATATATCAGCTAGTTACGATCAGGTAATTATTTTCATTGAGAATAATAATTGAAACGTCAACAATCGCAGATCGTCAAAAATAAATACACGAACTTGTATGTGTGTGTGTGTGTGCGTACATTTCCGTTTTGATTATGTCATCAAAAATGAGCCAATGAATATGTATTTGCTTAAACGAGTTCATCATATGATCCAATAAAACTTTGGCTTAGCAGAATCTAATTAGTGAGTAGCGTTTGAATTGCGTGTGTGTGTGTGTGTGGGCCATGTGTGTGTTTATCGTGTAGATAGATCGAGGAGCGTTGCGTAATCAAAAATGATCCGTCTCGCCGTTGTTGTGTGCGATGCTGCAAGCGCGCGAGGGTTGCTACACCCTCACTTGCTCGCTCGCTCTCTCGTTCGTTCGTTTGTTGCAGGGCGTCTGGGGTTCTCTGCCTTGTGTATTTGCGTTATTTGTAACGAATCATTCACTATTCAGGCTGATGAATGGGGGTGTTTTGATCCTACAGTTGTAAGCTTCATGGATTTTATAAATGCTGTTATATATATTTTGTGAGGCGCTTTGCGTTATGTAAGAGGGGTAACAAATTAAATAGCCTGCAATGACACTCATGAATATGTTTATTATAGGAGGACGAAGAGCGTTGAGAGAAGGAGGATGAGGAGGATGACGATGGACGAGGAGGAGGAAACTCCGATCGAGGCGAGTGATATGCAAATTGATAAAATATTGCGCGAGTTAAAAAAAAATATATATAAGTATACATTATATAATCAAGTTATGCACTCGATGCGTTAAAGCTTATAACCATTAACTGATAGAATTTAATGCAATTACGTTAAGTATACATTAATGACACTAACAGTTTTTTAAAAGCATTACTGATTTTACGAAATATCTCAAGTCCTAATCGAATATTAAAAACTACACATCATAATATCATGTTACATTTTTTTATCAACATTTATTTTAACGTTTCTGCGGATTACTTTCAAAACACATCTTAACTACTTAAATAATTATGACTTATTAAATCAACAAAATATATTAGATATTCAAGCAATTAAACAAGAGTTTATTTCTACTTTTTTTTACTTCCTCAATTAGTGCGGTTTCAAATAATCCGGGATATTGGTTTATTACTCGGACTATGCGATGTTTCACTATAGCAAAAAGTTATAATTGATAACGAGAGTGTAAATCAATAATTTTTTATCTTATCTTATTATTGTTACAATCATATTGTAATATATCAAATACATATTATATAACAAACCAATATTTCATTTTTATAAGAACTTGTTGTTATGCATGAGTAACTGCATGTCATATATACATTAGGGCGAGACGTGTATTCAATTGTATAATTCGCCTATATGATTGTCCTTTCTTCATATCCCACAGTAGTCGATTGACCTTTTCCCATTTTATTACATATTTATTCCCCCTAAACACTTGCACGTCCATTCTGTCCTGCTTATAATCGAATAAAGATTATACTTATTACATAAATATAATACTACACCACTTACCCTCAGGAAATCATTCTGGAAATAATGCAACTATCTTATATTCTTAATTTTATTATATACTTGATACAATAATAAGTATCACAACACATAAATCTATATTATTTTTATTATTGATTAATAAATTGCTTTGAATTTCTTTTACTTCTACTTGAAAGCATGGCACACCAATTACAATATTTAATCTAAAATCATTGAGAAATGATGGATTGATGGATTTGTCATAAAGCGGTAGAACTTTGTAGAACATTATATGCATGTCGTGTGTGTACATTTACATACCTATTTAACGTTGAAGGAGATTCCTGTGCAAACAACGACCTCGATGACCACATTTGTGTTTTTGTTTACTTGGTCTATTCTTTTCTTCTGTCATTGTGTTAAGCTGAGTCCCCTCGACATAATTTTCTAACCGAATTTCTGGCAAACGGATTTTTCTCTTCAAAAAAATATTGACAAAACATGTTTCACATAGAAATACACATTATTTATGTAATATTTATAATTATATTAAGAAGTTTAAAGAATAACAAACATTTATAATATTATCATGAATATGTTTAATTTAGGAAAGATAAAATAATAATAATACACAAATGTTTCTAAGATTAATTTATTAAGTTCTTTATTTTTATAAAGTATCGTACAAATAAAATTATTTAAAGTTGAATAAATTGATTTAACACAATCAAAAAATAAATTATAGAAAGATTATAAAAATTATAGATGTAATAAAATAATTTTGTTAATATTTGAAATGAAATTACTGTATTTAATCACATCACTGACTTTAAGTAAATGTTGTAATTAATTAAATTGTTTAAGGAAATATTGTAAATTACAATAATAATAGTAGCAGTAAATTAATAAAATTAAGCAAAAAATAATTCATAGAATTAAAATACGTTTCTACCGTTGCACAATATTGTGTATTAATGTGTATTCATTTGCGAGAAATAGTGCTTGTAGTCACTATTGAAATAGTATGAAGATAAATCTGGATTAATATTGAATTGGTACTGGAAAAGATCTTGAAAACGTTACCAATTATATTGATAAATTGATACTTGAATGTCCTTATTTTCCAATTGAAATATTGTATTACAATATCCATTTATTTATATTAAGATATTTTGTTTTTGTGAAATATACTTACCATACTTGCTAAAGGATTGACGAAAATCTTTCTGTTAAGAAAAAATATTAGTCTGAAATTCAAATATTTGTTGTACGAAGTTTTTCTATATTTATTACTGATATTAATCATAATGAAAATTAAGTTAACGTAATAAAATTATAGTCAAGTAATAATAACGTTTATAAAATTGATTTATGTACTAAACTATTTCATGAATAAAATGAATTTGAGAGAAAACTGTTCGCAGAATGTAAACATTTAAAATGTATGCAAATAATATTGTTATTTAATAATTACAACAGAATTGGATCGCGCTCGGTAGCTCGCTCGCTTGGATTCGTAATCGTGTTACAACTAAAAGCCAGATTAATTAGGTTTTCATCCACGGTGCAGCAGCATATTTTTGCTAATTTCACACTTACAAACTAAATTAGCTTTAATCGCGTGCGTGTGTCCTCGTTTCTCGTATTCAAATTACAAGCAAGCAATTAAAATGAAAACAACAAACCCACGTACAACGATGATCGATCATCATCATCATCTTGTGATGTATTGCGACGGCGGCGGCGGTGGATCGCGCTATGAATGAGCGCCGAATAAGACAAACGCGTATCCGAAAAGAAGATCTGTGCGCTTAATTAATTGCCATTAATTGGAAGCAGAGATCAGATGCGGTGTCTTCAGAACGTGCATCGGGTTTCGGTCATTTATGAACGTCTCGTTTATGCGCTTTGGTTCTACTGAAAAGATGTTTCTTTATTTATTTGCAGATGATATTATTTTGTATTTTATTTTTCGTTGCTTCCGCTTGTGGTTAATCCCTTTCGGATGATGGGAATTTCCGATGTTCCTGTGTTTACTTTGCTACAAAAATGGGAAAGGAAAGAAGCGAACGAAGTTCCTTTTTATTTCTTTGCTGAGCTCACCTGGTTTTCTAGTTTTCTGGTTTCGCGGCTTTTGTTGTTGTTGTTGCTGTTGCAGTGGATAATAACGCTTTTTGAAACACTTAGTTGCGTGGTGTGGGATCTGTCGTCGCGACGCTAATGCGTGCGGCAGGCAAGACGCTGCAGGCGAGCGTCGGAATTATGCGCGCCGTCGCGACGACGTGCGGGAACAATGGCGTCCCCGTTGTATCCAATCGAATGCTGCTTCAGCCGCGACCAGTCAGCCGCGAGTAATTCCAAGTCACGCCCCGCCAAATTCCGAAACACTTAATAATTCAATAACGGCGATAACCGAAATTTTGGTCATTTCGCCGGAGAGCGAACGTCCGCGTCTAATTGCTGTAGGGGGATCCCCGGGCTTCGGGTCAGGGATCCGCGTCCATCGGTGGCGGTAGGTAGTAGCATCAGCGGTGGCGGTGGCGGCGGTGACGGCAGCGACGGGTCCGAGTGCGGATCCGAAGCACGCGCTTTTTTTTCCTCCCCCCGGAACCCGAAACGCCGCGATTTTT